TTTGTGATCACATGATTAGTTATTCAAATTTCTACTGACAATTACACTTTTGGAATAACATACAAATTGAAGTTACCCATACTAGTTCATAGAACTAAGCGCGCATAGATATATATTACTTTTATGGAGAATTTCTCAAAAAGAAGTTTAGATATATATAAGATAAAACAAAAAGGGATGTGTTTGAAACATTTAAGAAGTGAAAACTTGGGATGATACGCAAAACTGGGAGGAAGATAAAGAGATTGTGAATTGACAATGATGTATCATCACTGCTGAGAAAATGAGTTATCAATATGAATCAGAGAATGCTAATAATGAAATTAAATGCACACAAATTTTATGCATACTAAAAAACCCAAAATAGTATTAAATTTTGATATTAGAAAGTAAAAAAACAGGCAAATTTCGTATGTAAAAGTAAATTGAATGCATAAATTAGAAAAGAAGCCTGGAAAAGAGAGCATGAAACAAAACAAAGTTTCTCATCTATTTGGATAATTATTAAGAAAAGTAAAAGAACTTCAACGAAAAAATTCTATTGAGGGGGGAATTGTAAAATTCAAAACAAAGTAAAAATGGCATAATGAAATTCCCCAACAATTTATACCCAAACTTTCAGCGCTATCTTTCTTCATTTCATTCGTTGTATTCCCAATCCCATATCTGTAAAAGTTGTTACTGAAAATTGCCATTAGGAATTGTCATGAAGGAAAGGGGAAAAAAAAATGTAAAATCCAATTTTTGGAATCGAGTTTTATTTTGAGTTGAAGAAATTAAGGGTGTAAATTAGAAGAAATCATTTTAGAGGTGATTTGAGTTAAAATAATTTTGTTAAATAATAAATTGGTATAAATTGAAGAATTTAATAATTTGTTAGATTGTATATGAAATAACTAAAATTCAAGGAAATAAAAAATAAGGTGATGTATTTTGAGAAGGATTCAACTCCAATTCTATGATAATATTAAATTGTGACTCTTGGCATGCCCATATAAATTTCTTTATATTGAGCATTTAAATGATATTTAATTTATCAAAAAGTTTAATGCATTAACATGTTCTGATAAAAATAATCAAATGATATTTTCATACTGAGCAAATCTTAAGATACATAATCCATGTTTAAAAATTCATATGCTATTACACATTTATGCCTCAATTATAGATACAAGTTGATGATAGTATAAGCATAAAATACTAAAAATATCTACATAAATTTGATAATGATTCTATAAATAAAGAAATCTATGAGAGATCAATTCATATGAGATAAATTAGCAGATAATTATAACCTGCGCTTAAAGAAGCAAAAGTTCTTCCAAAATGGGCATCAACAATGGCCAAAATGGATTCTTGACTCATGATTAATTTCATGTTGCAACGAGCAAAATTTATCAAGGGGATATTGCTAACTGTCATATTAGAAAAAAATAAACCCTTTTCAATAGTTATTATGGGCCAATAAGATGAGCAACAACAAAATGATAATCAATAACAAAAAGTTATATTCTTGAATTTTGAATTTTATATTAGAATTATTATCCAGCAAACATTTAGCTCATTATATATTATGACAACGATTGTTTTAGAAAAGGAAATATAATAGGTTGGGCCTACAGCTTCATATTTTGGGTGTACAATTTTAGATGTATTAGAAAAGAAAAGGGTAAATATATAAAGTTTATTAGTAGCCCTATATTCCATTTTGATGATTTAAATTATGAACATTTCCGTATGAAAATTTATGATGCATCTAGTAGATAATTATAAAGAGTAATTCTATTTTGTAATATCCAAATAGACAAGTGTTATAGTCACTTGACCTTGATTAATAAAACTAAAAATGGGTGTTGGTAAGAAATATGTTCAATAAAATTGCTTGCCTCAGCAACATTTAAGGTTGTCAAAACTTGACCCAAACTTAACATGACTCAAAAAGTATGAGTTTGATTTCTCTGACTAACTTGCAAAATGTTTTTGGATCTAGAATCCTAGCCGAATTTAATTTTTAGGTCAAGTTTAAGCGTCAGCCCAAAATTGACCCACAACTTGAAATTGATCTACTAGCCTGAACTTAACTTGAACATAACCTGAATTTGAGCATAATAGTTTTTATGTCCTATGTTAAATGGGTTACACAATTCGGGTTCAGATTAATAGGGTTGAAAGGACGTTCGAACTTGTTTAATAAATGAGTCGAGTTCAAAGCATATAGATTTGAATCGAGTCAAATTAGGGTCGAACCAAAGCCCGTCCCATTAACCAAAATTAACACTCCTAGCTACAACTCATACTTCACTAAAGAGGTTCAAAATGGGACTTGAAACTAACAAGGGTTATCCAAACTCAAAAAGTACAAGTAATGCTTCAAGTTACATGGTCTTCGCAGCTATTGATCAGAAAGGTATGATGATTCATGTTTTGACTTTATAATCCATTGGTTCTTGCAGTAAGATGGAAGATTTGATGCAAGGAAGAATTAGTTTGTCCGTATATAATCTCAAAGAGCACTCTCAAAACTTTTCCGCTTAAAATCTTAATTATCCTCTTCCCATAAATTAAAGATTACATTTTCTTTTCTTCCTACATGAATTAGCCAAGGGATTGATTAGGAAAAAATAATAGATACCAAAATCTTAACAATTTCAAAAGATAGGGCAAGAAATTAAGGTAGAAAAGGAAGTTATGGTTAGTTCCTGCAAACAAAAAAAAAAGGTCAAAGTGGTGATCTTCTATACTTGGAAAATAAAAGATTTTGGTGGTTTCTCCTACAGAAAAAAAGAAGAAGGAAAGGAAACGTTAGTTACTTCTTCTCATAGTAATTGAAGGAAAATAAAAGAAAAGGGAGTTCGTTTGCTATGATCAACGGCTCTCCTTCTTATTGATTAACTTGAAAGGGGGAATGTGATATACATGTAAATTTCCCTTATTTGTAATCCTCCATTTTTTTATAATGAATTTAGAGTTCCTCTTTGCCTCATGGATATAGGTAATTCTTGTTCAAATGATGTAAACTTTGTCTTTTAGTCTATGTGTTGTTTATATATTTTGATTGTTGTGGCCACAAAATTGCTCCTAAGTTAATCCTACCTCCTCTGATACAGTCAGAGAGATAGATTGTCAGAGAAATAACTTCGATGATTGTCTCAACAACTCATAAGACCCTAAAAATAGCTCCTGATTAATTTCAATTATCTTTTATAGATGAAAACATTAATAGTCACATAATTTTCATGGAAAAAGTTTGATGTTTCAAGCTCTGCCCTTCGATTGATAGGAGGAACAAATACCCCCAATTGAGAGGCATTTTAATCCATCTTAGATCTCAAAAGAGACAAATCATCAATTCCCTACATGATCCGCCTATCAAAATTCTAATGATATTGAAGATAATTCTCCACACTTAAAAGCAATAATATAGAAAAATTTGAGTTTGCCTTTCTACCATCATTTGTCTTACTCTTACATAGAATTCAAAGCTAATCATGATTTTAAAAGTGGACACTTACATCAACCCAATCAAGTAAGAATATACTTGAACATCTATGAATGATGGAATTCTAGATGGTGATTGTTCAACATGTTGAAAGTTATGCCTAAAACATATGATTCTCCAACTCTTTATAAAATGACAATTTCTCACACCTTACATGATATGATAATAAAATAGATTTTATTTTATTAATTTGTTAACTATTTCTATCATACATGTCAAGCTAGAACCTCCATATAGGCAGGTGAAGAATCATTATGCAATTAAGCCGCACAATAACAAAACCATTATTTTATTTGCTCTATTTATTTCTCTCCTAAGGCAAAAATCCAAACCACTAGAAGATTCATTAGCCTTCTGGTTTAAGAGCCCGTTTGGGGCAGCTTATAAGTGCGGGCGACGTTTTGAAAATTTCGTCTCACCGTTTGGAAAACACGTTTCTGCAGCTTATCGAAAAATGCAGTTGAGTTTTTACACTAAACGCAAGACGCAGATAGAACCCCGCAGGCCACCCACGGGTTGCGTTTCAAGATAAGATGTTTATCTGGATAAGCACAAGCTGCCCCAAACGCATCCTAAATCTGTTGGAGTTATTTAACTTTCAACTTTAGATCTTGTCAGTTATGTATCCTCAAAATTCCGATATTAATCCTTCATATTATCTTTGACAAAGAGGTGTGTGTATTAATTCCATGCCTCGTTCTTAAGCTTAAAACACCAAAATTAATTGACTTTTTGACTATAAAATGTTAAAAAAAACAAATTATGAGAGTTGGTCAAACAAAAACTTCTTACTTTTGGAATTTTGCAGATCTCTGCTTCTCGGAGTTTGAGATTTTCAACAAAAAAAAAGGTGGCAGCTTATCATTTGCACCTATTCTCATGATTCATTAGTAATGCTGATGGAAAACGTATTGAAGGAATAAGGCTAAAACGCTAATGCCGATATTCTAAGCAGAAGGCCCCAGCCCTTCGGATGCGAATATTCAGACACGCACGTGGTAGGTTATCATTTGCCCAGATTCATGATAAGTGGGAGCTCGCACAGTTTCTTCTACCAAAGATTTCCCTTCAGACCTCTTAAAGCCCGGTTAGGGATATGATTCCAATCGTCGTTACCAGAACAAATGGAGCACAAAACCAGACCTCTGTAATCATGACGCATGATCTAGTTTTAATTTTTTCCTTGACAGGAGAATTACTTCAACTGCGGTTTTTCCGTAAAAAACTTCATTTTATCTCCAACAAAAGCGACTAATAATCGCCCCTAGGGTAAATAAAACGGACAAACCAAGCAAGACATAAGAAAATTTAATCCTTGATGTCTCACTCTCCTCATCCACCTCCTCCTTGAAAAGTTTTCATGCAAAAACCCTTCTCCCACCTTTCAAAGGAGCCAACTTGAGCAAACAGACGAAACAGGAGAGTAAAACAAAACTAAAAAAATACAAAGTGAAAATGGGAACAAGATTAGCATAGCGAAGAAGATGAGTTCAACGACTACCGCACGGGGAGACGATTGAAATGCGCCCAGAGTTCTTCCTCGAAGGAAGGAGAGAGTGCCTCGGAGCAACCTAAGTCCTTAAGCCGGCTGAGGACCTCGTGATAAACCTCGCGTTTACGATGCTTCTGCTGCTTCTGAGAGGATTTTGCCCGCGAAACCCAGCTTCCAGAGCTCCCGTCCTTCGCCATACACCGGTAACGCCCCTCCGGAACGAAGAAAGGAAATAAAAGAAATCGCTTTGCGTTTCTGGAGGAAAAACTCTGACAGAGAAGGCGTCAGGGTGTAAAGAAAAGAGCCGTTCGGCGAGGAAGAATCAGTGAGGAAAGAGGGGAATGGTAATAAAATGGCAACTGAAGTGCCCACAAGGATGCAAATTTGTCGGAGAGACGGGGCGAGAAGCCTGCTGAGGGCGAATACGAGGCGTGTCCGAGGGGTAGGGGTGGAGACGAGAGTTTCCTCCGGCCCGTTTATTTGACCTCTGACAAATTTTTTAAAATATATATCCTAAATGGATAATATTTTATCTGAATTCCCCCAAAAATAATATTTAATCAGTAATTGAAAAGAACATGATAAGTAGAGGTGTAAACGAACCAAACACGAATAAACAGTCATGTTTGGTTCGTTTGAAATTAACTATGTTTGAAATAAGTTCGTGTTTGAAATTGTCCGCAGAGTTATTATTCGTGTTCGACACGAATAAACAGTCATGTTTGGTTCGTTTGAAATTAACTGTGTTTGAAATAAGTTCGTATTTGAAATTGTTCGTGTTCGATTTGATTTGTTTGAAATGTGTTTGAAATGTTCAAATTATTCGAATGTTTCAAATTGTTCTAAATTTGACAAATTTGTTTGTATTGTTCGAATTGTTTGAAATTTTTCTAAAACTTAAATCTGTATGAAATTAATGTTTAAACATATATGAATCACAACACAAATGCATAATAGTCAAAGCATGACTCACAATAAAACCATAATATCATATCTCATCAATTAAAAATTCAGATATAGAGGCAATATGCGAGATTTCACTCTTCAAAACTTCAAAAATTAGGTTTCACTCAAAAAAGCTAAATAAATCCAAAAGAAATATAGGAAAATTTAAACTAAGACCTGAAGATAAATATTAAATTGTAAGATTTAATATAAGTTAAGAGGCGGCCTTGAAGATCATATTATGATTTATAGGATTTGTTTTTTAAAAATATGATAAATTTTTAGAGTGTATAATTATTTTTAAAATATGATAAATTTTTTATATATAATTATTTCAACTATTTTATATTTCGAACAATAACAATTTGAACACGATCGAACAAATGAATGTTCGTGTTTAGTTCGTTTATAAACAGAACGAAAAAAAATTGTTTGTGTTCGTCTCGTTCACTTATCAAACAAATCGAATACAAACTCCCTGACGAGCTGAACACAAACTGTTCACGAACAACAAGCTTAATGAATTGATTTCTTCATTACATTATCTGCTTCCATATTTTTAATCAAATTTTGATGTTTGAAATGTTAAAAGAATTAGGATAAAATAATCATATATTATTAAAAGTTCTTTGGAAATGCTTTAGTAATTAAACTTAGAATTCATATTTAGTAAAAAAAAATTTAGATTTATTTGCCAACCCAAGAGGATTGAATCCGTTATAAAAAGATGTTATTCTCGAACCTTTTGTACATAGTAGTTAGTATTGTAAACTCGCATAATACGTCAACCAAGCTACTATTACTGACGTGGCAGAAACTTCGAGCCACATCAAAAAGAATGAGCCATGCATGCCCCCACTCAATTGGGTCCGACCTAATCAACTTATCTTTTCGAGGCAAGATGTGCAGGGAGAGTGTTGTTTGGCCCTCAACTCGGCAAGGCGAATTGGACCTAGAACCGATGAAGGCACACCATGCATCGTGAAGCCAATTCATCATACTTGGATTTTGAAAACCATTGCCCTTGGATACAAGTTCCCATGCATCACAGGATAAAGGATGTGGAGGAGAGGAGAGCAAAGAGGTTGCCAAAAAAGAAGTTGTCGCGGTATGATTAACAAAACTATCACCAAAAGAATTACCCCTAGAAGATGCATGGTGAAAAGTTTATTTTTTCAAGAGAACGAGAAAAGATTCACATTCCTTCCTTTCCCATATAAATAGTGTATCAAATGATAGTTTGAGGGGGACTCCACATACCAAACCTGACTCTCACTCTCTTATTCTTAAAAACGCTTGTAGGTTTACTACCTCGGTGCTTCATCACTGCACCCAATTTCCTACCCACGACACTCGGATCCTCTTCTCTCTTGTTCCAACCTAGGGTTGGCCCATAAGTAAACTTGTTTTATATAAAAGTGATGTACAAACTGCAAAGAAATAACAATTTTTTTATAATTTATTTTCTTCATAAAATAATACAATTTATACAATTGTTAATGCATGTGAGGGAGATAGATAGAAAAAAAAAAGAGATTTTGGCTATGTATGGCATTTTAGACATAATGAAAAAAATGAAACAAGGTTATCAAAACATATATTTTTCCTATGTGACAAAAAATGTAGAAATAAAAAAATTATATGGCCTTGCTCAGTTAAAAAAGCATTCACAGTGGTTAATGTTAGTTATGAGAGGATGCGTTTCCCCAAATTTGAAGAAGGTGGGAATAAAACTCATAAAAAATATATTGATGCTAGTATTAATAATGTTAGTGATACAATTACATTTTACTTTCAAGGCAGTTCTCCTCTGAGAAGTGAAACTAATATGACCAAAAGTTGGTTGCAATGTGGCGTAAAAAGGAGATAATGACCACTGAGCATGGATGAATAGTACTTCCTCTAAAGGTAAAGGAGACGTGATCTTAAGAAGTTGATGAGGTAATGAGGAATGACTATGCATGGGATCGTAAGAAGGCGGGTTGATCCTCCTTCTAAAAAGGGTCCAACGCAACATAAAAACATTATTCATAACATCATAAGGTTGAGGAGGTTAGCAAACATGACTATATTTTAATTGAAGATGACACCACCCAAAGGTGGATGTGAGCTGGTAGATGAGGATCATTGAGATGACATTGGGTGGTTAAAATGGCCCTCTTTCTAAAGGGGGACGTAATACAACTTGAAAGTGGCTATAATGCAGAATATGAAGTTCATAGAGTTCATTTAAGGTGGATGCATTTAAACCTCCTCTAAAGAAGTGAAGAAAAAAAAGGGAGATATTATTATGAATAGTGACAAAGGATGGCCATAAAATATCTCTCCCTTGAAAGAAATAGGGGTTTAACAATCTTAGATCTAAAAGTGGTGTAAGGTGGCCTAAATTATCCCTCTTCTGGAATATAAAGGGGTTGAGTAACATGAAATCATTTTCACATGAAGGTGGATTGAATCCAGGATATCAAAATCTAAATTACAAATTCAAATAGAAATTTTTATTTAATTTTATTGCTCATTTATAAACATTTTAGTCTAATTACCAACCAATCATACAACACCACATTATTATCACGCAAGCTTAAGTTTTATGATGCTTCTTCGATAAATAGTACATAATTTCACCCATAAAGTTATCTTTTTCTTATAATTAAAATAAATAAAGAAATTTGATAATTATTAAAGTCTTAATTATCAAAAACAAGAAAATTCTACAAAGCCTAAAATACTATTTCTTAGAATAATCAGAGAAATTAGAGTAAGTAAATTTATTCATAAGATACCACCTTGATGCTCAAATAGAGCATTATGAGGAAAAAGTTCTTAATTTTGTCGAGGACATTTAAAAACAATCCTATTGAAGAGTTGTTAAAGACATTAAAAGCAAGATCTTATTTGTTGACTTTTACGGTGTTCCTTGAGACTACATGTATTATGGTCCAGCCAGGACATGAATTAAGCATGGTGGGAACAACAATCGGTCGTTGATAATCATGAATTTCTATTTTCTTTTTTTATCATTTACATTTTATCAACCAAAAATAAATGAAAAAGCTGCTACATAAATGAATGCAAATTAAAAGATTAATATTTACCTTATTGTTGATTGTATGTGTCTTATATAAACATTTCTTATTCTATTATCCATCTTTACCGTGCAATTTTTACTTGAAAAATAATAATCTAAAATAAAAAGAGCTAACAAGTAAGTGAATAATCATATTAATAAACTACATTAACACAATAAAAAAGGAAATAATATACATGTCAGTTAAATCTTTTAATAAATCGGTATAAGAGCAACAAATAATTTATATTTATGAATATAATCGTTCAAGTTATTTCAAAACCTTTCTTATATCACACAATATTACATATATAGTTTTATATACAATCGTCACATGAGCGTCGTCTAAAATTATACAAATTAAGGCGTATCAATATCAATATATTTTTTTAAGTACGTGAATAATGTATCTTAGTGTTCCCCCGCCAATACCATAGAAGGGTGAACTCAATCATAGTCAAGCATACATACACAAACACATTATGACAATCATTATCTAATAATGAATATTTTCATTCTCTTTTATATAGCAATCAATATACTTGTATGACATTCAATATCTATGATAATTTAACACAATGATAACTAATATGAATAAAAATTAATATAATCATAAATCATGAGTATACAGTAATATAAGTATAATTAGTAATAATAACAATAAATGCATTTAATCTAGAAAAAGTAAAAATATTATTCTAGCATAAGAGCATTAGTGCTCGCCTCGATGTTCTCCACCTTATACCTTTTAAGTTAGACTCCATCACTTGATTACCTAATATAAGAAGTATTCATATTAATAAATTTAATTATTATAAATAAAAATTATTATTAATTAATTATTGTAACATATTATTTTAATTAAATTATTAACCTTATTACTCCTGCATCTTCATTTTATTCTATTTATTTAGTCTACATCCCATTTCATTTTATTTCTTAATTCATAATTTAACTTTACTAATTATATTCTTAACTTTTTAATTAAATTTTTACAATTATTACTATTTCTATTATTATAATCATGCTCTCTTTCAATTATCATCAATATGTAATTTATTTCAATTTTCCAAATTCATTATTTAAGATGTTTCACGTGAGTATCATTATAAATCTTATTTTCATACAAAAACCAAATCAATTATTTTATATGCATAAATAAATGTTTAGAAATTGCAAATAAAAAGCATCATTAATTTCACATCTCCTCAGTGGCTTGCCCCGACGCCCACCCTTCTTCCATGAGCTCAGTTTGGTTCTTCCCAGTCCAAAAATTGTACACTAAGGGGGTGCTTGGCACCCTCTTGGGGAAAAATATTACATCAGGACTCCTAACGCAGAGCTACGTTTCGAGTCCACTGATATGCAGACATATGGATGTGACAAAAAAAATAATAAAAAAAATCGTTTTAGCTCAGGGGAATATTCCTCCCGTGTTATTCCACATTAT